GTAAGTAAGTAACGTAAGTAACGTAACGTAACGTAACGTAAGTAACGTAAGTAAGTAAGAACGTAAGAACGAGAAGTAGAGAGAGAGAGAGAGAGAGAGAGAGAGAGAGAGAGAGAGAGAGAGAGAGAGAGAGAGCACTTGAATAACACCTTCAAGCACACCCAACTGTGAAAAAATGTCATTCATGTTCTTGGTTTTAATTTCCATACAGTAAATATTTAGCAAAAATGGGCCAGTTCACGGCTTCAAGAATGGGATATGCAATGAGACGTGGCTAAGCATGTACCATAGAATTTCTGAGTAAACTCTGCAGTGTGTCAGTCAATGTCTCATTAACCTCTAACTTGAGCGTCACCTGCCATCCATCAAATACATGGGTACATTCCATAATGGAAACATAAATAGACAAAGTTCAAAATTGAACTAACCTCTTTAAAAATTTCACTGGAGCCAGCACTCTCAAATCCCTGCACGACAGACATGATTCATGTCACAAACTTGCTTGCTCGGATGCACATCAATTCCCACCAGGCATATAAACATTTACATGTGTGTGAATGAGTTCATCTAGATGCATAAATATGTACATACAAAGTTCAAAAAAATGGAATTGATCCCTGAATCACTGGGGACCAGTTCCAATTCACCCTCTCTGACTTGGGCGATTCCCAAGTTGGTGTGTATGGATAAAACAGAAAAATGAAAACAAAATAACTGGGGAAATTGGACAATTCCGGGGTTCCCTAAAATTGGATCACCCACCCTATTGTTTCGAGCCGACTAGGGCGATTCTGAGTTAGCTTGGCATTTTTTGAACACTGCATACATCGCACATCACATATATGGTATGATATTATCTTGCATTTGATATTATATATCCATAATAACATGTGTTAAGCATAGGCATATATGTATCTGCTGATTTAGGTAAGCAGATTTATGAGATAAGAATTGAACCCTCAGCGTTAGATAAAACCACCATTTTGCATAAAGATCAATGGCAAGAGTCTACCGATGATTCAAGTTTTAGTGTATAATGCAATACGATGCTATATAGAGGGCCAAGAACAGGAGACAGCAGGACAATGCCAAAGAATTACATATCTGCATGGATGTTGCATCATGGCAACATAGACACTTTCACTAAGAACTCTGACAAATATTGTTATGTACTTGGATGTTAATACCTTGTGTCTCTTTGTGTGTGTGTGTGTGTGAGAGAGAGAGAGAGAGAGAGAGAGAGAGAGAGAGAGAGAGAGAGACGACTAACTACTTTAGAGAGATACAAGTAGAGGTCGTAGTATAGTACTTCTACTAATATACGACAACGAAACGCGTACGACTACCCGACGTACTTACTACAAC